CCTGCCGAGCTCGGCCTTGGCCTCGGCTTCGGCGTCGGCGGCGTCGAGGTCGAGGTGGTCGAGTTCGAGCTGGGCAGCGGCATCGCGTGCCTGGGCCGACTGGCTGGCGCGGCCCTTGGGATGGAGGATGTGGGTGCGGTAGTGCTGCAGGCTGTTGTCCTGGCGCGAGAAGCGCGCCTTGCAGCCGGGGAAGGTGCAGCGGTAGGGCTTCTGACCGGTGTGGATGCGGTTGTGGCGGGCGGCATGGCCGCTGGTGGAGAAGGTCTTGTCGCAGCCGGGGTGCTGGCAAGGGTATCGCTTCTTGCCGCCGATGGTGACGGCGCCGGAGCCGCCGTCCTTGGAGGTTCGCTTTGGCATACCTGCGTGTGCTGCGGCGGCGTCGCCGTAGGGCATGCTGCGGTCGTAGGGGTAGGTGCTGTCCGAGCTCGAGCTGGAAGAGCGCCTGCTGTAGTCGTTGGGATCGAGGTAGGCGCCCGATCGGTCCCACTGTCCGGGGGGAAAGACGCCGGTGGCCGAGGGAGGCAGCGGCTCACCCGGGCGCATGCCAATCGCCTGGGGCGACGACGAGATGTGGTTGCCGCGGAGCACCTTGTGCCCCTGCAGTCCACGTGGGGGAAGCGGGTCGCTAAACTCGCCGGGCACTTCGATGCGCGGGAGCCTTATGGGATCTGCGTACGCCTTGTGCCGGGGGGCACGCGAGTCGTACGAGTAGTCGAGCGAGGTGGGTGGGGAGGTGGAGGCAGTGGAGCGGTCGCCACTGCGTAAGAGCGATTCGGTAGACGAGGAGGTGGAATCGAATGCCGAATGGGACATAATCGAGGGGGAGGGATGATGACGCGGATCGTAGTGGTCCGAGAACGACGGGTGGGTCTGCTCGGGTTTGATCGCGGACGGAGCACGGTCGTTGAGCAAAGAAACGACGCCTCCAGCGGAAGGTAGGGAGAACGATCCCATAAAGGAGTGAGACGAACGAAGCAAACGCAAGAGTGCGGAGCAAGCTCGGAGACGAAGGGTGCCGTGGAAGGTGGCACGAACGTAGACAGCGGGAGCGCAAGCTGGACTGCTACGGAACGAGACACGGAAAGCAAGACCTGTCTTCTCGGCGCGGTGCGAGAGATCGTGTATCTGACAGGAGGAGTCGCTCGATTGACGGTTGCGACGAGGTCGAAGAGCTGAGATGTACGCGACTAGGGCTGGATCCGAGGATGAGCGTCTAAGCCGAGTAGCGGTGGGTGTCGATGGGTGGACTCAAAGGCCTAGCTTGACATGTGAATTCCAGGCGAAGAGAGGCGAGGATGGTCGAGATCCAAGGTTGTTGAGAGAAGCAGCAGTGACGGGAGGTTAGACGAAAGCTGCAGATGGGCTGATGATGGCTAGCAAGAGTGCGAGTTGTATGCTGTACGTTGTCGGTAGAATGTATCGCTGGTGGAGCGTGCTGATGCTAGCGGTAACGTATAGATGATGATGGAGGGAGAGGAGGAGCGAGGAGCCCGGAACAATGTGCGATGAGCGTAGGGCGGTTGACGATGCGTGAGGCCGCACGCGAGAAGGCGCGATGCAGGAGCCACGAACAACCTGGGTGTGGTCGCGGGCTCGCTAACAATAGCAGCGTCGCACGGTTCGGAGCTAGGCTCGGTGACGACGGCGACGGCGAGGCGAGGCGAGGCGACTTGAGAAGATGCAGGCGCTGTGCTGTACGGCGTCTTTTAGGGCAGGGCACGCGCAGATGGCCGGCGTCTGCAACTGGCTATGAGCGGTGTCGAGCACGAGTGGCAGGATGCAGGTGAAATGAGGTCACGCTGGTCGATAAGGGTTCGCGTGGGTGCCGTCAAGAGCGGACTCGGAGGGCGGTAGGCTGGATGAATGGAGAGGCGATGACGAAAGCGGATGGGCGAGGTTGCTTGGGAAGAAGGGGCGTCCAAGGGTCTTGTGGTGTGTGGCTTACGACGCAGCGCGGATCGCTAGAAGGCCGTGGCAGGCAGGAGGATCATTCCAGAGGGAGCGAGGGCGAGCCAAAGCAAGAGCAAGAAGAAGCGCGGGAACTGGGTCTGGCCGACTAGACCCTTTGGCACAGGCAAAGGGCAGTGAGCGGACCCAGGCAGGCGAAGGGATGGGGACGAGATGCAGCGCTGGGCGAGGGAGCAAGGGTCATGGAGAGAGGGGGAAGAGGAGAAGAAGGAAAAAGCAAGGCGAGGGAGTGGGATGGGGAGAGGGCGCGATGACGCTGCTATGATGCAGAGCCCAATCCGAGAGGGAGCGACCGATGTTCTTGACTTGAGAGTCGCAAGGCCAAAGGAGGGGGAAGAGGGAGGGGGAGGGGGAAAAAGAGAGGGCGAGCAGGGCCTG